TACCACCTCCATCTGTTGTAATGGTACAATGGTACATCCTAGATTTCAGTCACCTACTTAAAATCTGTGCAATTGATTTTCAGGTTTTTTCTCTATGAACTTGTTTTTGTTTAATTACAAATATCCATAACAAAAATTCACCAAACAGAAACTCCTTAAATACTGCGATTCTTACAATTATAATAAATGGCTAGTTTTTCAGTCTCTTTTTTTTTTTTTCCATAAATAGTTTTCCAGTATATAGTGCTTATTAGATGCCATTTCTGTTCAGAAGATTTTTGCAAGAAATTGATGCGAAGCTTGTGCACAAGTTTATTAGGAAACTAATATGTATATGTTCTGCACTTTCTTAAATGCTAATTACTGAGTACTAATATTAAAAGGTTTCATAAATACATGTGTATTTGATTCAAGAATTTTCATTAAAAATGTAGGTACTTTATTTTCAAGTACCTTCTCTTTTTTCCTCCTTTCAGCCTTTCTGCAGAGAGCAATAGGAGGAATAAGAGAAAAATCAACCATAGAGTTAGACTTTAAAGTTTTCAAAATCATGAGCTTTGGTAAATTCTTCTTTGTATTGAGAACATCTAAATACATAAATTTTGAATTGAATTTTAAAAAGCATTTTCTTGTATTTTCCTCTGGAGGGATGGGTGAGAGGCAAGAAATACCTGGAAATATGCATCATTTAGGTAGAAAAGTTATTTTTCTTAAAAGTTACTGTCTCCTTTCCAATTTATCTTATCAGCTAAAAACTGATTTTTGCAATAGGTCCATAAGCAAATCTTCTTCACAGTGCAGTGCAGTGTGTTCAACAAGATCACTGGTGCAACCAGTGGAACTCTGGACACCTAGACTGGTGCAGACCCACCAGCTCTGCTGAGCAAACCCACTGCGCTGAACTGGTGCGGCAACCTCACGAGGACCAGCAGAGAGAGACAATGGAAATTGTAATCTTGGCCAAATCCCTCATCGTCCTTGCCTCAGTGTCCTCACTGGAAGACTAGAAAGGAGAGCACGTGGCTCTCTGGAGGTGCTCATTGCAGCAAGCACTAACATTAATTATGTGGGTTAAGAGTCACTGAGCTGCACTCCAACCACGTGGATAGTTACACGTTGCTAAAGAGGAAAAAAAAAAAGTTTGCCAAAGGTGCACCAACTTCATTGAACTGCAGGGAAAAAACCTCCAACCGATAGCTTTTATTTTATTCCTCCCTTATTTAAGGTAAAACTGGAACATTAAAGATAACGCATGTGTACATATCTGCACACACAGATTCAGCAAAATCCGTTCAGAACAAATCCTTCATATCTTTCCTGCATCCGTTCCTGAGCCACCTGTTCCAGATGTATGAATTTAAATGGTACCTCTTGCTACTAAACTGACTTTATTTTCAAATATAATTAAAATGACCAAGAAAAGTACCGTAATTAATTAAACAATTTTAAATAGGTTGGTTATCAGCAAAGCAAGAAGCTGTTACTTTCTTGTCACTTCTCCTATGACAAGCAAGTCATTAGGTATTGCCAAATACATATGAACAAGCAAGCATCCACTGGAAAAGGCAGAGGGATAGGAGGCAGGAAGGGAGAAGGAACAAGGTCAGTAATATACATTTATTGGTGTAGGTTTGGAACAGTTTGTAAGCAAGGTTAATTTTTTGTGTATAATTCCCCACTATATGCAACAGGCTGCAACCTTTTCCTCCCACAGCAATGGTGTTCCTAGACCAAGGGCAAGTTGTATTGATCCAGATAGGAGCAGATTATTATTAACCTGACATGGAACTTCTTTTGACTCATGACACTATCTGCCTCCTAAATAACCACATTATTTTCCTGCAACAAAAAAAAAGCACAACGTACCAAGGAAATTCCTATACAGAATAACAGAATGAACTTAAAAAACTATAGTCTTGTGTCAGAGCTTTCATCTCTTGTGCCCCAAAGGTTCAAGACAATTTTAACGGCACCATTTTATATCTACAGTAATAGATCACATTGAACACCTCCTTGTACACTAGATTAGCAACAGCTTGAACAGTTTGCCTTGGCTTGATAAAAACATTAACACTCTGTGTTGGTATTTCTTTTGCAATACTGAAGAAGAAAAACAGAATGCAAAAGTAATAGCTTGGCTAGAAATCAACCTACACTGGAAACATTTTCTGGAATGGGAAAAAAAACCAAAGTGAAGTCGTGAAGAGACTTTGTATGTGAAGATTAAAAAAATACCCTAAGTGGAAACAAGAGATGTTTACTTCCTGGACACAACACAAATTAGTTTTTCTTTTGCTATTATATCAGCTATCACATCAGTTACATTCAGCAGACATAAACGCTATTCACTTTTCAAGGCCATAACTGAAATGCTCCCTTGACCACACAGTTTTTGATTGTAATGGCAGGTCAATAATATAAAAAAAATTGTTTGAAAACCAGTTATTTTATGCAAATTTAGTATACTGACAGTCAGGAAAATGCTAGACTGCCACATTCTTGTGTTCACTTCAGAACGTAACAATTTGAACGTGCTGGCATTTTCCAAAATAACTTCTAGCAAATAAACAACAACCACACACTCCTGAATTACCATGGTAAATTTTTAACGCCATGCACTTTGATTACAGGACAAAACCATACTCTTTCTCTGGCGGTAATTTAATTCATCAGCGTAGTTTTTTGATCAAAGATTTTTCTTTTCTAGAGAGCCATGTGTAAAAGCAGTAGAAGCAAGGAGTTGAAGTCAGCCTAATTGCAAAAGCTGCTTTTCTGCAGAAAACCTTCTAAAGGTTACCTAAAAAGGTAATCAACCTGCACAAATCAATGGCTGCAAAAATTCAAAAGGAAAGAGGCCTGGAATTGTAAGGGGAATCCATCATTAACAGTGGGATGCATTCTTAGTCCAAAACTTTTATATCAATGGACTCAAAAAAGAACGAAAAGAATGAAAACATCACTGAATAAAGGTAACACAGAATCAAAGACCAGTGAATGACACGAGACTTGAAAGCTGAGTGAGCAGCATGGTTTCTATTCCAGGGAGTTCAGAAAAAGGGGAAAAGAAAATAGAGAAAAAAATAAAGAAATTAAATGTGCTGGGTTTTTTTTTATTTCACAGAATATACATATTAAAAAGATAATTTCAGAACAAGGGTTTTGGTAGTTCCATTCCACAGCAGACCCCGGATTCCTGGAGCTTCAATACTCCACGTTATGGACTTGGGAATCACAGGGGCCCAATTTGAGGGCCCAGAGACCTTACTCTCTGATATCTCACACTTAAGGTTGCTTCAGAGTCATAGATTATTCAGCAAGCACACCCAAGAAATCATGTTTCAACATGGCTAACCATACACAATGTTATATATTTAAGAACAAAGAATGCAAAATATAAATTATTAGAGTAGGAATACCAGTCTTGCAAATCAGTGACTTGGAAAAGTGACATTACAGAAAAAATAAACATACTCCCACTCCAAGTCTATGGTTAAAATGGATAAACAGTCCTTTAAAATATTTAACTAGAGAGGTAGTGAACATGAATAGAAAGGTTATATTACCTTTCTATCCAGCTCCTGGAAATTTATGTCCTATTCTGGCATACATACTACTTTAGGAAAGATACTTAGGATGCCTCACGTTTAAATATAAGGAATTTAAAGAGTTATCAGAATGATGAAAGGATAAGAAAACATACTCTCTGATGATAAACCCAGGATGCTCATTCTATTTCTTTTAAGCAAGAGAAGGCTACAAAGAGATTTGATTATAACCTGTAAGTTCCTATACTGGGAGATAAAATTTGGTAACAAAAGTCCTTTAAACCTAGAGGATAAAGGTACATTTATAACTCAGGCTGGACGTAGAAGCCAGGTAAACACAGGCTAATAGGTGAAAACTTTTAACAAAAGCAATCACAGACTGGAACTACTTAACAATCCTGGTGGAGTATTCTCTGGTACTGGGAGCTAACACAAACAACTGAGGCACTACAGGTACAAGTTCAACTATGGCCACCTGGTAGGAGTTTTAGAAGCCAGTGGACCAAGCACTCAGATGGTGTAAAAGGATGTAAAGGCTCCATTAGTTTCAATTAATCTACACCAATTTTAATGCGATAATCCATAGCGATGTTTTACAACAGGACATCAAGTTACTTGCCTCTTAAAGGTTCAGTAAAGCTCCACCTGCAAGTTTTTCACAGCAGACTTCCTGACAAGCCCACACTGCCATCTCCCTTAGACACTGGCAATCTAAATTACATACTCTTTGTTAGTATATGAAGATAATTACAATTATTTCTATTGTTTTGCTGTACAGTTACTGTGTGTATATTCCTCTACAACGACATCTTTTACTGAGATCTAAAGTGTAAATACTTTTATTGGGGGAATGTGATATCATTTCTAACTCTATTTTCTTGACACATTTGAAAACTAGCAAGTTGTTGCAATTTTCCTTGTACCTCCTATTCAGCAGAATCCCTTCTTTCACATTTACTTGAGTTATTGAGGGCTACATGCTAAAAACAGTGTCACGCATTAGGGCTCCCCTTAGCTCAAGGGAAAAACAAACATGTCTCACAGGTTTTCCTGCCGTTATCAAGCCTTTCAAGTACATGTAGTAAAGGGGTTATCTGATAAGACTTAGCATACTGCAGTGACACAGGTGCTGGAAAGAAGGTTTCTAGCCAGTCTGGAAACTGCTGCTTCTTCCCTTTCCATCAGTAGCAAGTAAGTCAAGACAGAGATACCACACTCCATATCAAACATGACATCTTCTGGTTAAAGCAGATAAAACACTGGTGCCCATCCCACATTTGTAACAGCAAAATAAAGAAATCTAAAATATTTCTCTCATATCTGGTTATTGTTCAAAGAATAGGAATCAATGCAACAGCAGCAGTCCAAAAAAGGTTTCAAGACCGGTATAAAAACAAGACAGTCTCTCATCACAAGGACAGAGCAACAAGTTTTGTTAATGTTATTTTTACTCACGTGGTACAAAGCAGTTTCTGGTCCAGGTGTGCCCATGACTTCTTGTCTCAATGAGTCCATTTGTAAACTAGGCAACAGCGAGTAATGACTTGGACTACTACTCTTGTCTCCTTTCTTTTTGGACTTTTTCCCAGTATCCTTTTTGCTATTCCTTTGAAACATGTAGTCTTCTTGACCTATTTTCTCATTGCTCATATAGCGAAGCAATGAATTTTCTGGTGAAAGAAAAGTAATACAAAACATCACTGTGATTTGTTGTACGTATGTTAATCCTGCTTCCAAAATGTGTAATATTGTTGCTAAGATCTACTGTCAATTTTAACTCTTCAATACTATTTCATTAACAAAACCTATTTGCTTCTTTGGTCTGGATATAAGAAGGCGGCAATCTTTTGGTAAGGAAAATTAATGATTCTTGCAGTTTTCTGGTATCTTTGACAAAAAAAGGAACAGAATATAAAAGAAGCCCCACATCAATAAATTTTGTCTTGGAGTTTTAAAAAAAATGAGCAATGATACACTTATGATCATATCTGTAATCTTTTTTTTTAAACAAGATCCTAATGAATGAAAATGACTGTGGTGCCATACATTTAAAAGTAATTTGCTTTGAACATCCATTTGAGATTGTTCACCGCATCATCCATACTTTCCCCAAACAGTCTTGCAGCATCTACAAGCTTGTAGCTCAGGGACATCCTGAACCAGAAACAATGTTTGTGAATTTAAGAAACCTCAGCAGATTTGTCTTTCACGAACTTGTCTGGTTTTGTATTAATGTGAGCTTTTAGTACCCATAACCTCCTGTGGCAAGAGGTTCCTTAGCTTGAACCTAAACTGCATGAGGAGCCAGCTCTTTTTTCTTTTTAACCAGCACTCAACAGAGACATTTGATGTCTCTCTGGTCTTGTTTCAGAAAAAACAGTGACAAACCTATTTCCTTACTTCATTCCACACAAGATTTTATAAACCTTTATTATGTCCTGCCTAAATTCTCCCAAACTGATGATGGCCAGCCTACTGAATTGACCCCGGTTTGGAAGCCACTCCATACATCTGATTATTTTTGTTGTCTCCTAAACCTTCTTCAATTTTACTGTATTTTTCTTAAGAGATTAAGAGACTGGAACTGCACACACACCCAGCATGAGCAAGAACTTAGACAGCACCATAAGAATACTTCTTAATTTGTCTTGTATTCTTTTCCTAATAATTCCTAACAGTGTTTCCTTTTTTGATCCCTACTGAATATGTAGTTAACATTTTTTATGGAAATATTTATCACTACTGTAACATCTTGTTCCTGGGCAGTAAAAGTCATCTCAGAGGTTATAATTTTGTATGTGAAGTTATGTATCTGAGCCTCACAAACCAGAATTTTGACGAACATATCCTCAATGATTTTGAGGTGAATCCCATGCTGCTCTAGAATGTTTTCCATCCAAAAAGAACTCACCAAGACAGAGAAATGTGATATATAATTCTCATTTAAGTATAACAATATATATCAGTAATAACCATACATTTGTCCTCTAGTATTATAAAGTTAAGGCCAGTTTCAAAATGGGCTGGATAACACAGCTGAATCAATGCAATGCCAATATAAGGTCAAGCCAAACTACCGGGCTTTGCAGTCATGATTTTCTTTTGCCTGGCTGAGCAACTTCCTCAATCCTAATAGAGGCTCTGCAAAAAATTAAGTATACACAATGAAAGAACCAAAAACAGGTTCACAAAAATATATATCTAAGCAAGCAGCAAAATGAGGTTGAAATACGTAGCTTAAAGCATGATAAAACCCACAATGCCCTGTACAAGATGTGTGTTCAGATCACTTACCTCTCCTACTATCTCTTTTTATTTTATTGGGGTCTTCATAATCCCCCACCCAGTTATATTCTACTGGCATAGAAATAGGTCTTAGTTTTCCTGGAAACAGAGGAAAAAATTGAGATCATGCACCATAAGGCAGCATTAAACTAACATTCTTCAGAAGAAAGAACAAATTATGTGCTAAGCTGCTGTTCTACAGGGTTGTTTATGAAAGAGGATCCAGCATCGCCTCTGAACAAGAGGTTAAGACAAGAGTTCTGTTTTCTTTAACAGATAAGAAGCAGCTAAATATTTAATGGATTTTTTTAAGTTTAGAAAATAAATCCAGTGCCCTACAAAATCATCAGTGAACTGATGTTGGAGACTGACAAATGCATTCAAATTACTTTGGTTTTCACTGAACAATAGCTATTTACTATTCTGGAAGCCCCTGGCGCACACATGGAGAGAACTGTTTTAAAGCAGATGTGAACTGTTGTTAACAGAAACGTGTGCACAATAGCATCTTTGCTGGTGGGCTTAAAAGATCCATCAGTGACTCAGTAAGAAAGGAAGCAGAAATCCTCTAACATGTAATTTCTTTTGTAGCATTTCATCCACAGAAAACAAAGTGCATTACTATTGGTAAATTCACTTTAATTTCAGATAGCAAAAGACAGAAAAGCTGAAGACTATTACATATTTTAAAATTTTATTTGGAAGCTGCTGAATTAAATTTTAAAAATTCTGTGAACTATGATTTCTGCTTAAGGATTCCACAAATATAGTTGGAAATTCAGTGAAAGTTAGCAAGTTAAATACTATATTGAAACAAAACAAATAGTATAGCATATGGCACAGTATTGGGCAGACCGAAACCAAAAATGTTTTCACAATAAGGCCAGCCCTCGCTCTTTTTTTGAATCAATCTACTGGTCACAAAACTGAAAAGTGGGAAAATAATTTTTTTTTTAAAACTAGCAGAGCTTAAAGTTAAAAATTCAGAAGTCTTGTTAATTATTTTAGAACAAAAGCCCTGCATAAAGGTGATCGGTCTTATTCCACATTTTTGAGGTTAAATCCATGATACACTGAAAAAGAAAGATGTGTTTATAATGAAAACAAATATTCGGACATGTTTGTCTATCTATTGAAGTATGGCATCCATGAGAAATACAGCAATACCATGCAGGTAGCAAAATGGTGAAAGGTTGTATTTTTAAAAAATTGACAAAAAAAGGTGTATGTTCTGTACAGACCACAGGATCAGGTCACAAATACATCATTGCTCAGGAAATAAAACATATATATTTAATTTTTATTTATCATTTATTTTACTATTTATGGACACATATTTAAGTCTGATTGAAGTCAGTGAGACTTAGAGCACACAGTTAAGAAGTAATTTCCTGAGTGGGGATGTATTCAGCTCATGTTTACTTGCTCAGAGGTAACTTTCAATCGTTACCTTTTCTAGAAATACAACTTTCTCTTCTTTGTGAGGCTGAACTCACAGTATCTTATTGAAAGAAACTGCATGCTTACGAAGACACAAAAGCTACAGAATCATGTAAAGTCTCATTGTTACCAAAAGCTATAGCCATAACTAATTCTCTACAAAATCTCTAGCTGTTCAAAGTGCATGTTTTTTGTGTCTGGTAGTAAAATTGCAATGACCAAATTTGTTTCCTTCCTTAAACGCAAGTTTCATTTGCCTGCTATCCCTGCTAATCTCCTTCTCGTTAACCCCCACGGATCCCCTAAATCTGTTTTCCCTGGTGACTACACTCAGGAAAATGTCTTCCTTGGGATGTGATCAGGAGCTTTCCGAGGTCAATTAGCAACAATTATACAACAGCTAGAAGCCAGTAAGAACATGAAAGATAAATCTCTTTGTTAACATTGTCAAAAATGTCAAAAGATTCCAACAAAGAAATTATGGTGGGTCCTATTAACCTCTCACAAAGGAGGACTGAGAAATATTTTTTAAAAAAAATTAACACCACCACATAATTAATGATGAGTACATGTTGAAAACAACTATTTCTCTAGGTCTTGAAACTCTGTTTGACCTTCTTTAATGGGTGAACATAAGCCAGAATAGTGTTATTGTCATTTTCCAGATTTCTGTGAAATCTTAAGGTCATGTCTAGCCACAAATCTTATGCTAACAGACGCTATGTGGGGAGCTTTAGAATTTAATGCTGAAAGGGTAATATTTTTAGAAAATACACTTAAATGAAAATGGACTCACTGTGAATTCATTAAAAAAGAAGTGAGATCAAAAGTGAAAGGCTGTATAACAAATGTGTTAAATAATGACTGATTTTCAGTGCAGTCTTTGATCCATGTATTTATAACCCTCTCTGCCAATAGAAAAAAAGGCTAAAACAGCTATCTCGTAACAAAATAATGGATTCAGCAGTCCTTGAAGAAGAAATGTGTTCACTCTAGACCACCAGTATTAAAATTTAACATCTGGAACCGAGAGTACACCTCTGTTAATGGAACTGATTGCATCCATCAATTGTAATAGTTGAAATACTGGAGTAATAAAATTGATATATCCACTCTGAAAACTTAGCAGTTATTTTGTACACAATGGGCATGGTTATAAACCACCTGAAAACACTATGAAATCAAAAGGATACTGAGGATTTTGCAGCAGGATTGTGTAGTTGTGTAGAAAGGGTGCATTTTATGAAAATGCATCCTTTAATGTTGTACAAGCACGTTGCTTCAGGTCCTGAGGATACTTTACACAGCTCAAGCTCAATTTATATCAAGGTTTGCAGGTGACTCTGGAGCTTGGCTGCACAATGCACTAAATCTACGCTTCTTAATAAATTAAGTCTATTTTCTTCTCAAAGGGATATGATGTCAGGATTACTATAACAACTCCAACATACAGCTTGTGGTCAGTTTAAAAAGTGAAATAACATAGCAAGTAGGGTGAAAAAATATTCAAGTGCGTGGTCAGTTAATACCATAGTAGTCAAAATATCTTTTTTAAACATGAGATTTCCTCTTCGTTTTCTACTATATCCTAACAGCTCTATGACTGCACAACTTTATACTTGGCAACAGAAAACCAGTTCTCCCAGTCCAAAGCTTAAACAAGTTACAATGCTACCTAAAAGAAGAGTTCTAACAGATTCAAAGGGAAAATAACATGAAGCATAAAGGTTTGAGAGTAAAACTCTCACCAGAAATGGTTTCTGAGTTTTCACCCTAAATAAGTCAAAATCCAAGATGTGGAAATAGCATGAATACACGTGTGTGTTTACTTGCAAAATTCTTTCTTAGACAACATATAAACTCAATAAAGAGGAGCTGCTATATATAGGAAGCAATCACTTCCCATATAGGAAGTTACAGGAGGTTAATACAGTATTACAAATAAAGCATACTGTCATCAGTCATACTTAATTTCTGGGACTAAAGAAAAATTAAAGAGTTTTAGAGAGCAGTGCAGCATGAAAGCAGCATGTCACCTCTTTGTAAATCTGAAGTGATTTTGATCTTTAAAACTGTTACACCTGGGTAAATTTTTCTAATGCTGTATTCCTAAGCCCATGCAAGCCTTCCCTTATACTGGGAGAACAATTTGATTCTGTATTTTTAGTAAAAATATATGGGCTTCTGCCCAATTTTTTTTGTAAAATGATACTGAAGCATAATCTGGAAAATTAAGCTGATAACAAAATAGCAGAACTTATATTCAGAAAAATCATCAATAAAAAACTGGACTTGCCCTCCCTATTATAGTAGGTAATTCATTTTTTCTTGCACAGAACAAGCTCTTAGGTTGAAATTGGACTAAAGTGTAACAGAATTCTTAGCAAAATCAATGACCACTGAAAATATTTTCATGCTTAGAAACAAAAGGAGATGCACGAAAATCCTAAAATCAACAAATAGTGATTATCTTTACTAGATCAATGCCATACCATATGTTGGTGTGCTCTCTCTCCTTCCAGGACCACTTGTTCTTCCTTTCTCATATTCATAGCAGTATAAAACTGCATCTTCTTCAACCACATTAAAGCGTTTCCGATATTCCTGGTCAAGAAATGAGTTTGGAGATTCGGATCCTGTATGAACTGGCTTGCCCACTATATGTCTGCCAACATCATCACATGGGAGATTTCCCTTTTCATCCCTTCAGTAAACAAGAGAGGTTTTTAATATATTGGGATAAGACATTGTATTTTTCTTTTACTATGAATATTTTCAACATGGGAATGCGTCAATATTTCATACAAGCAGGAAACAGATGTCATTGAACAACATCAGGATCATGCATCATATTTGCATATCTACACGTGTCTATGCCAGTTACCTTACACATCTCTGCTTATTCAATTCTTTTACAGACTATATCCATCTTACTGGTTTCTCTTGAAAACAATCATAGAAATAAAGCTTACATGCAGCTACTCTTTTTTTCTTGTTTTTTGGAATCTACCTAGCATTTTGTGATTTAGGGCACAGAAATAAAGTTGACCTTACTTTTTTATACCTGCATTTTTAAATACATCAAATAATTTCAAGACATCGCTATATGGCAATAGCAACACAACGGAGACTGACATAAACCATCCAGATGCTGGTCTTTTACTCTATTCCAGTAACAAAAGGAGAGTTTGTTTTTGTTTGTTTTATCTTGGAATGGCAACAACAAATGGAGAAACAGATGCTGAACAGTTTGATAATACCTGAAATAAAGACATGCTTAAATATAGTTAATCATGGACAAAAAAAACCTGACGAAATGCCAAAACAGATTATTCAGAAACACTGTACACTATGTGACAGGTTTGTGAAATGAAGTATAGTCCATTAGGATTAAGCTGATAAAAAAAATTCAAATGTACAAAGCTTAATCTCTCCATAAGATTACAGTTTGTACTAATATGTGTTATAAGATTTTTAATGAGAATTGGTCCAAACTGCTGCATTATCATCATGATTTAAGAAATGTTCTTAATAAATGATTAAAATGCATTTTGAAGATCTCGATTTCTAGAGCAGAACTCAAAAACTACTGAGCAGCAAATATTTACTAAAAATACTTCAAAAAAGAGGATGCATTTCTTATCAAATAAAAGTATTTTTGTGGCGGTAAACATGATCAGTAGCAGTACAAAGGCACTACTGTGTTTAAGATAGTACAGTTTCAGTTTCAGAAGCAATAGGTCTTTATCATATAACTACTCCATTCAAAGAGAAACCTAAGACTATGTTTTGGTTGGGGTTTGTTTTTGCAGCTTTTTTACATTAATGGTCTAGAATTAAATACTTGATTTTTTCTGTGGATTTTCTGAAAACCATGTCCTTAAAATATTTACATAGACATAAAAAAATACTGTTATCAGAGAGATAAAAGACACATTCAATTCCTATGAACAATTCCAGTGTCATGACTGACAACATTCTTATTTAATTAGAAGAGAAAAAAATAGTGAACTAGACTATGTATTCCGTTTGTCTCTTTGTCACTTTAAGACAGATACTAGAGTAATTGTGTTAGCAAGTTCAACTGCATTACATGTGTCACATTTGAAATAAAATGGCAATATTTTTTTTTAAGAAATAAAAAGTAAGCCAAGTAACAGATGAGGCAGGGATGAGAAAGGAACATGATACTCGGCTTACGGCTTCACAAAAGGCTTCTGACATCATCTAAATCTTGAAGTGGAAAGTCACTCTTCTGCCCTAGAAGGTTTTTCATATCTCTGAAGAGTAAGAATTTATCATAGAATCACAACTTCTCCTCCCCACTAGGCAATTTAATTTGCCATACACCTCACTCTTGGATAACCCCCAGGGAAGTCTTGCCAGTATCATGTCATACATCTTACTAATTGGCTAGAAGAGTTACTGATAAGAAAGTCTAAGAAAAACTCAGCTACAAGAAACTCAGGTACAAGAAAGGACATGCTGCCCGTAGAACCTTTCCAAGAAAGTTAACTAAAAGGAAAACAAGAAGTAATTTAAAAACACATTGACTGGACACATGACAGCCTGTGTCTAAGAATATGGAAGATTTAAAAATACTGATTCCTCTTAAATACATTCGTAGACCTCTGTGTAGCTACTTCTGTATTTATAGGCCATAATTCTCTCAGAATTTTAGGAAAGCAACATCTGTGTACACTATGGAATTATACTGAATCATGTGAGGTCATGTGAGGATAGGGTGATGAATCTGCATGGAGGATCTGCTGCTTCTCTGGCTCAGCAAGCCCAGAGACCTGGGAGAGATGAAAATGCCTGTTCCAGGTGGCAGGTCAGAGTAACAGATATACTGACAGAGAACAGCATGGTCACCGCAGAATCTAGCAGAGTGGCCACACTAAAACACAATCCTGAAATTTGCTCTAACACTATAAAATCAACTATATCTAAAAAAGGAAACACTATGGCAGAATAAAACAGTGCTCTTGTTGAAGTTGAAAGTTAGCTCAGCCTCCCTTGTTGCATCATGGTTATTAGGCAAGGGGAGAGATATGAACTCTTTTCCTAGTTATAGATTTATGGTTTCAGGTAATTTTTGCTCTTCTGAAATAGGATGAGACTGTTACAGACAACAGATTATCCCATATTTGAGAAAATAGGCTACTGAACCTTCTTTTCTAAGGGCTACTGACTGTTTTGCAGGCAAAACACTGATTCAGATTGTTGTGGGTCTGACTCAGCATATCTACCCTTAATAACCAGTTCACCTGCAAAATGAGGCATCATCAGCCTAACCCCACAGGGCATGCTGATAAATGGGCAGGAACAGAATGGTCAGTTACTTTACAAATACTTTTTACATTGAATTGTATCTGAAATGATCTTTTTTACCTTGGAACATAAGGTTCTGTTGGAGGAGGGGGTATGTAGAGATCCTGCAGGGCAGAGCTGTCTCTCTTTGTAGGCGTGCTGATAGTGCTGGATGGCGTAGCAACACTGCTTGTAGGACTTCTAGGAATAAGAGGCTGGTTCAAAAGAGAGAGAGAAAGAATCAAGATTATCCTTACATATCATATATTTTTATTTGAAAAAGCTATAAACATTCTATAGTTCAGAGAGTTAAAGAAATAGTTAACAGTTCTAGTGTTCTGTGTGCTTTTAAACTGACTGAAAAAACCCTCATGCTAAGGAGACAGAACTATGAATGGACATGTATTGCACTTAAAAAATTGACTTCTGATTACATCTTTTTCCCTTTTGCACAGCAAGATTATTGCCAGTGCCCATAAAAATAGTAATCAGTAGAGCCACTGGTGAAATCTTAATGAGTAAATAACAAACAGAATCCAGTGAATTCCTTAATTAAAATAACATTGTAAAGAAAGTCTAGTGTTTACAGTAAAAGGTGCATAAGTAGGCATTAAATTGAATGTCATCTCTCCCCATCTGCTCTACAGCTTAAGAATTAATTGTAAAAGTTTCAGTTTATGTCTGCAGATGCTATAAAATCAGGTCCTGCATCCTCAGAGCATACATGCTATGAGACAGAACAAACTGGAGATTATTACTCTTCACTCCCCTGGGCATACTCCTCACAAAGTAACATTTACTCACAGGTAAATAAATTGTACACTCCTTGCAGAATAACCATGCATTCTAGTTATCATTCCAGACCAAATAGGATCCTTCATCTTAATCACATGTCCCTCTGTTTCGTGAATTAGGCACGCCTTTTTCTTCCTCGACTTAACTATCTTAGCTAACTAAACAATGACCAAGCATTTGAAGACCTCATTAAATGACTGTAGGGCTGGAAATTATAGCAAGACTTTCTAAGTCTCTATACAGATGCATAAAAATGAAATGAGAAGAAAACTTTGATTGCTTTAGTCTACTTAACAACATGTCTGCCTAATAACAAAAGCTTTATGTTGCTTGTCTTGTGTGATAGCTAAACTCAAGCAGAAGAAAAAGAAAAACAGCAAAACAGCAAGTACAACAGTATCTTCATATACCCTAAAATTAATTTAATATTAAACAAATGCTGAGTTTTCCTTTGAAAGAGCTCTTTCCCCTCCATCCTTCTGGAAGTAAACTTCTTGAAGAAAGAAGTGTTGGGATTCAAGAGAGTTCACTATATCTATAATTTCTGACCTAAATAACTACTGGAGGACACAAATATTTCACATTGTATTGATGGCAGAGAAGCTCTAAATACTGACTGAATGGGTGCGTAGAAACACCCTTCTACCAGCACCGTTAAGAATACTTTATGACAGACCAACAGGGCATTCCTCTGCAGAATAATCAGTTCTCATTTTCTAGATATTAATCTTGACACTGTAGCATTATGCCCGTACTGCAGAAAACCCCAAGAGTTCAACAGCAGGAACTTTTCAAAATTTTGGCCTTTCCTAAGCTAGCAATGAGTCATTCACATTCATGTTTATCAAGAAAAGCCCCCACTATTGCATTACTTTTTTTTCAATCTGTATGTAAAAATAATGCATGCCACCTGGGAAATCTCATCCTTTAGCCAGTTACTGCCTTGTTTTAGGAACACAACTGTGTTAGGTGTTATTTATCTCAAACATAATAAAATGTATGCTTAAAATTTTCTTGTTAAAACTTTGGAAGTCCACCTTTGGAGCAACAGCTATAAACTGACACAAGTTTTCTCTTTTTGAATGTTAGAAAACCATCTCCTGTAAACAGTGCTAAATTCTTTCCTTGCTCATTAGAGTTAATGTGAGTATTCTGTAGCCAAGCCAATGAAAGACTGCCAGTATTTACAGGAAGAGAGGGAGAGGGACACACACAAAACCAGACAGGTAAAAGACTTTACAACCACTAAAAACAAGAAGACAGAAGTCTGCAAAAATAAGAATAAAGTTGGTGGCAAAACTGGGTAAAAAAACCCTAAAAAACTTTAAAAAAGCGCAACAAACCATCACCACAACTCTCTTTCAGAGAAACAAAAATTTTATCCTTTAGAATTTCATCTGTGATGCTGTAGCCATAGAATCACTCACTAATACAACACTGGTTATTTCCTTTCTGATGCCTTGCACTTCTATGACAAGTACACTTTGTGGCTTGCTGAGTAGCTTGTAGAATTAATTTTCATTGTAAGCCAAAAGAATTTTGCAACCTAGACCCTGTTTACACTGGCTAAGCCCAGGCTGTTCTTGTTCCTGGCTCATACTGGCAGAGCCCTGAGAGGAAGACAAGCTGGGTAGACGGATTTGCTCTTCTCCATTTTGAGGAAGAAGACAGCCCTTTACTTTACCTGCAGGAATAGGCAGGTAAGAGGAAAGGGGGCCCTATATATTAGGCTGGTGGCAATCAATAGGAGTTTGTGGTTTACGTCACGTAAGGAGAATCATGCTCAAACTTAACAGTGATCTGGACTTACAATGGGTTGATGAGTCTCTGGTGGTCCTGACCAGCTGCTGGAGGGCTAGAAGACACAGGTAAAGAATTTCCCTTGTGTTACAGCCTGGAATACCTGGGCTTAACTATTTAAATACTAATGATATAGCCTTAAGTTCTGAAAAAACAATTTTGCTGAAATCAGAGGATTCTATTGGGCAGCTTCACACTTCACCAGTCCCTGCTAATACACAGCCCAGACACACAGGTCGGTTTGTCCTCCAGAACAGTTTGCTGGAAGATGCTGGGAATTAGCTGGGGTTTGTGCATCTTTGACAAATGCATATTTCGGTTCATCTTTTGGCTCGGCAAGGTGGCTAAAACAGTGAGTGTGATAGCGAAATGGTATTCAGTCTACCACAAAAAACCATAACTTATCCAGCTACCTGAAGGTAAAAGGTTTCCCTCAAACCATTCCCATGTCAGACATTTTCAGAGGTGAAATTACACCTCTGTAATAGGTGAGAGTCTGAATGACTGTGGTATCTCACAGGATGGCAATGGGGGTACGCCTTCCCAGTGCACCCACAGGTCCCAAGACAACAGAAACTGTAATACCATCTAGTACAACTGGAAGCACAATCCTGTAGGACTGTCTCAAAACATACTAGGATGTCTCATATCTTTTCTATATTTGGGTCATGTTGCCAAAGTCAACTCTCCAGCTTATTTCCACAAAACCAGAAAAGCTATGTAACTAGAAAAAAAAGGAGAAATCCAGATTTAAAAATAGGTCACCACATTTTAAAAAAAAATGTATTTATCTCCACTTCATTAGTAAATCAGTAGCTCAGTAAGAACGGCTACATGGTAAAAGCATTCAAAGGGTCTCTCCTGGTAGTAGCTCAACACACTGAGAGCATTGCTGTAACTACCACCTTGTGCTGTAGGAGTTCAGCTTTCATTTTACAAAAAACTAAAAGTCTTCAGGCCCTCCTGGTTGAAAACAGAGCCTTCAGAACGCAGCCTGCAGGTATGGTGCATCTACATGGCATTTTGCACTGCAATTTAGAGAGACCTCAACTGTTCAGTTTGAGTCAATCTGCACCTGCAAGTCAATCAGCACATGTAGCTCTCCAGTTGAATGGCAGCCACTCAGTGGACCACATGCAGGCACACGGAAAGGAAAAATATATGGAACTCCATTCAAGTAGTTCTGAATTGGTAACACTGATCTCCAAGGCATCCACCGAGTTAATTCTCTTCCAAGGACTAGAGCTTTTTCCTGCTGCAGTCCCTTTTGGTAGGCTGGCCAGGGCAAGTGGGATTGCTGAAACAGCAATAAAACTAAAAGTTTTCAGTCCAAAGAGCTAAATACTTGACCCATGGGAATAGTCTGAGACAGAAAGTTTAGAAGCTACATATTAAAACTGGAATAGCCTCAAAAATGTCCCACAGAAGACCCTGCATCAATCTTAACTCACAATGACAGACACAAAAGCCGTATTTCAATAAGTTTTGGAGTACTATTTCTCAAACATTTTGGATACACCATCCTCTTTCAGATCATTAATCTTTACGGACCCTTCCCCAACCTGTCAGTTGGCCAGGGAACGGATAACCAACCGTCTTTACTTACAGAGCTCAGTTTCTCTAACACAGGACAATAAGAAGTCCCTGTAAGCACTGGCCGATAGCACCCAGACACTCACCTCTCCCTTACCTCCAGAAGCTGCCCCATCCCCAGTCAGCTCTGCCCTGTGGTCCCCACCTCCCTCTTGCTACCAGGACCTATTGCTGCTTTTCCTATTCCCAATCCTGAAGGAACTGAGAGAGGGTGCCCCCAGTAAGACAACATATTATTTTTGCTTTTTCTCTCTAAACAATGAATGTAATTAATATTTAATATGTACTATCTCAAATTCTTTTTAATGTTTTTTTTAAAACTCTTTGAACCTTTCATTAACTCCCTTGGAAGCTGCGATACATAGTTTGAGAAATATTGCTCCAGAAAAAGACATACAGTTTTAAAAAATGTAAGCAAAACCAATACAAAATTTTAAGTGGTAATATCTTTATACAGTATTTGCATCAGTAAACTGATTTTACTGATAATATATTTTTCATATTGGATCAAGGTTATGACAATTTATTGAACAGAATGTTTCCAATAAAATAAACTTTTTACAAGACCAACCATGACATGAAGTAATGAAATACTAGAACTAATTCATACTGTGTAGGAAAACCCAGTCAGAATCCATTTTAACAGTGCTCCAAAGAATGCCCAGTTCCCATGCAGTTAAAAGACAACTAAGCAACTGAAGAGCAAACAAGTTAATATTTTATTCCAATTTAATGATTAAAAAGTGTAAGGTCATTCATTCTAATCATAAACAATGAAAACAGAATATAGCATTGTCTCTAGATGAATGAAGGAGGTGATATAATCAAGCAAGGAAAAATATTAAATAAAAATAAGTAGCATTTTCTCTCAAACCAAGGACTCTGTTGTTATTGTTGCTGTTGGTTCTTAGAAGACTGAAAAGCTGAATACATCACAGGGGAGATATGATGCATATCTAATCCAACATAAAGTCTGTTTAAAAAACTGCAGATACTGAGCTGTTGGTGATTTTATAATGGTACAATT